ACATAGCAAGGAGGAGGGAGGGCCGTTCTCTTGGGCAGTAGGATCCTTCCCAGGACGGAGGTGCAGCGATAACAAGGAGATAACTGCTCCCAGTGTATCAGATACCGCAGGGGAGCAGGCTGCAGCCCGGCTCCCCGAAGGAGTTCATCCCCAGCGAACAAAACAGGCATTGTGAAAGCAGCAGGGGACGCGTGGGGACTCACCTCTCCCTTTCAAATACTGCTCCTCAGAGGAAGGACAACAGTGAGCTGATGAATGCAGCTAATTGTGAGGCTTCTCGAAGTGTGTACGTTCACCGCTTAAGACTGGGAGGGAAGGAGCTTTGGGGGCTTTGGCGGACCGCAGTGGAACCACCGTCCTGTTTGTCACCTAAGCAAACAGAATAATGCATTGCTTAGTTAGTCATCTAAGTGTCGCCAACTACCCACCCCTCCCAGCGCCTAACCGCACACGCGGTGTGTGAGTGGCTGTGATTAGTCACAGAAAAGGGGGAGATGCCTGAACGGGGAAAGCAGGAGTCAGTCTTTTGGCTTCTTTCCAAACGGAAAGAAATTAAACCCGTTATTCAGGGTCACTGTCAGGTGGAAGGGGCTTACCTGCCCAGGCTGGGGCGCTGCTCTGGCCGGGAAAGGTGATGGCCAGGAAGTGAGGGAGGTGGGGAAGGGACCGTGGGAGAAAGCAGACGCCCATTCTGCGCTGATGACTTCCAGGCAGCCACACTCCCAGGTGTAGACACAGGCAGGGATCTGTGTTTGAGCCGAGCAGGGGCTGGGGCTATCAGCAGCTTCTTATGTCAGCCAAGCTCTCTGCTGAAAAAGATGGGATCTCTGGGATTGGTTTTCCACACTGTTCGGCCCCATCTTGCCATCATTTCCTCCTTTGTTCATCCGTTGGGGCTGTTGCCAGTGGTCATGAAGGAACCAGGCTGAACACTCTAAGACGGATGGCTAACATCTGTACTGGGGATGATTTTCTCTTCTCTCTCCCATTTCTTCTGGGATGTGTTTGACCCTTCCCACTGTCCCTGAGCTGCCTGCTTCCCTTTCTAACATCCCACACAGGCCAGAGGCAGGTTACCTTAGAGGGGAAGCCCGTTCTTTGGGGGAGAGAAGGGTCACCAAGGAGAAATGACCAGGCCTTCACTCTGTCGGTAGCCCTTCTCCATTAGCTCGTGGGCACCCTAGATTCCCACCCACAGCTCAGTCTCCCTTCTTGCACTTCCAAGATGTGGCCCACGTACCTGGCATCAGGGTGTTTACTCAGTGGCTCAGCTCCTTACTGACCCACCTGGTCTATGGAATCCTTCAAAGCATTCTTTTTTTAATCATCACCCAAAGATATGCTTTTGATTTTAGAGAGAGAGGAAGAGAGAGAGAGAGAGAGAGAGAAACATCGATCAGTTGCCTTCTGTACATGCCCTGACTGGGGATTGAACCCACAACCTAGTCATGTGTCCTGACCGGGAATCGGTCGAGCAACCTTTCAGTATATAGGACAATGCTCCAGCCAACTGAGCCACACTGGCCAGGGCCTGCAAAACATTCTTAATCATATTTTTTCCTCACACCTCCCGTTCCAATCCAATAAAACTCGATCCCAGAGGGCTGTGCGTCTCAGCCTCTCCTGGTGTCTGATGGGCTTCGATCCCACACCCACCCAGCCTACAGGCACTAGGATCGAAGCCCAACAGGAGTCCTGGAAGCATTAGCAGCGAGCGTGTGAGTGGGCCACACTCGTTATGCAGTGGAGAAAATTCCAAATTGGAAGATCAGTCACAGATATTAGCTGGCTTGGCTCAAGCTCGGTTCCTAAGTACAGTTGGGAAGAAGCATCACCAAAGAGATGAGTCAACTGTTGCTGTTCCATGGCTGGACCCTATGCCCGGTGCTCTCCCGGCTGCCGTAAGGAGCACGTTGGGGCAGAACATTGACTGTAGGGCAGAAACGCACTGCCCTGCAAGCATTTGAGGACCACTTCGCTCGGCATTTAAATTTATTTCAGTTTGTACAATGTTCTGGATTATTCTATCCCAACGTTGCCTGCTGATCTCATGCGTGAGTACTCAACTCGTACCCAGGGCATTTCTCACAGAAACCAGAGGCCTTCTCTTTACGCACACCGGCTCATGCAACAAGAGCTAGATCTGGAACTTAAAGTCCCTAACTTCCTTTCCTGAACTTCTCCAAGAAGTAAGTCAGAGAAGGCCACTCAGGTGCTAGAGAATCGTGCCACCTGGCTAATTGTCCATGTGTTCACATCAACATTTGAAGTTTAACTTATTTCCCAAAGAAATTAAAGTCAGCAGATCAAAACAAGGGTGACAGATAAATCAACAAAAGCTTTTAAGCAGGCTCTCATATTTTTTTAAGTCAGGATATTGAAGTATAATTTAAGTTGTATAAGTTTTGTAATTTGGGGGGGGTGTGTTTTAGTTTGTACATTTTTAAAAAATTTTAATTGTGGTAAAATACACATAAAATGTATCATCATAACCATTTTTTATGTACAGTTCAATAGTGTTAAGTACATTCACACTGTTGTGCAGCCAATCTCCAGAACTCTTTTCATCTTGCAAAACTGAAAAACTCGCCCGGCCAGTGTGACTCAGTGGTTGATTGTCGACCCATTAACCAAGAGGTCACAGTTGGATTCTTGGTCAATGCACATGCCCAGGTTGCGGGCTCCATCCCCCAATAGGGGGCGTGCAGGAGGCAGCTGATCAATGGTTGTCTTTCATCATTGATGTTTGTCTCTCTCCCTTCCTTTCTCTGAAATCAATAAAAACGTATTTTTAAAAAACTGAAACTCTGTACCCATTCAATAACAACTCCCTATTCTCCCCTGCCCCCGGCCCCTGACAACCACCATTCAACTTTCTGTGTCTATGAACTTGACCATCCTAGGTGCCTCATATAAGTGGAATCATACCATATTTGTCTTTTTGTGACTGGCTTATTTGACTTAGCATAATGTCTTCAACATTCATTTGTGTACCAGAACTTCCTTTCTTAGGCTGAGTAATACTTTGTTGTATGTGTACACCTCATTTTGTTTGTCCATTCTCTAGCAATGGCCACTCGGGCTGCTTCTACCTTTTGGCTATTGTGAATAATGCTGCTACGAACGTGGGTTTGATATCTTTTCAAAACCCTGACTTCTCTTATTTGTGTCCTTTAAAATTGAGTGAAGGGCCCTAACCGGTTTGGCTCAGTGGATAGAGCATCGGTCTGCAGACTGAGGGGTCCCAGGTTCGATTCCGGTCAAGGGCATGTACCTTGTTTGCAGGCACATCCCCAGTAGAAGGTGTGCAGGAGGCAGCTGATCGATGTTTCTCTGTCATCGATGTTTCTAACTATCTCTCTCCCTTCCTCTCTGTAAAAAATCAATAAAATATTTTTTTAAAAAAAATTGAGTAAAGGAATGATCCTAGAAGAATTCCATATTCCATGGCTCTGCATTTTTTACCATCAGGAATGCAGCACTAATTTCACCAGGTAATAGCTTTATAGCCTCTCGGTGTGCTGACTTTTCAAGGGCTTCTTGTGCTGTTCTTCAGCAATAGGTGAGTGCTTCGAGAACTGCCATTGAATAGAAAGTGGCGTAAGTTCAGCTCAGTGACTGGGATGCTGTGATCGAGGGTGATTGTCAGCGACTCGTGGATTGCTAAAAACCACTGTTCCGCTTTCCCCTCCCATGGGGCCTGAAACCCCAGAGCGCCTTCCCGGGGCCGGGAAAGCATGTGGTCCTAGGGGGAGGTTGGCGAAGCCCCGCCACAGTCTGCCCCGCCACGGAGAAAGGCCTCAAAATAACCTCTGTGGTCCTGTTTCAGAGTCGGAAAAGCAGCAGGGGTTGCTGAAATAATTTCATGAACAAAAAGATCAAAGAAATGATCTGTGAATGAATCTTAGAGACAGGAGAGCCAACCAGCCATGTGGACAAATAAGATTCCTCTCTGGACAAGTCTCTCTTTCTGCCCTGCATTGTCTGCAGGCTAAGCCGTAGTCTAGATCGCTTGGCATTCAAGTAGCTAAGGCGGCTCGCAGATGATTGGGGGGCTGAAGGCTCCGTGTTCCGCCTTCCTGCAAGGAGGGAAGGAAATCTAGTTCAGGAACCAAAGCAACGCTTATTCATCTTATCTCGTCTTTTCAAACCCGAGACAGGGTCCTTCCCAGCCCCCCAGACAGAGGGTCCTCTGGCATTAAATGCACGGAATCAAATGCATATCCGTGACAGGAGAAATGGCAGGGGAGTGAGGCAAAGGTGACAGATACCGAAGAGCAAACATACACCTTTGTGCTCCGTCTTCTTAAAATTCATCCTCTCACCTGCCAGCCTTGAGACTTGCCTATTTACATAACTAGCTGCCTAAAATGGAATATTAGATAATGCTACATGGCGGCTCACTCCATTGGAGCCCATCCCCAGGATGTGAGCCTGATCCAGGAGTCCGCCGACAGCCTGCAGCGTGGCACGCTGGCCTGCAGCCATGCCTCCGCGTGGCGTGAGCCTGTCAGCACTCCTGAGCTAAGCAGATGTCAGGCCCGATCGCCGATCGCCGGCGGGAGACCAGCCGAGCAGCGTGGGGTGGGGGGTGATTCAGCAAGTGGCACGGTGTGGCACACTGTCTCCAGGAGACAAGCAGCATCTCCTCCTGAGCTGCACAGCAGGCACCTGGTTCTCCCCAAGGTGCCGTCTCGGAAACAGCCAACATGTCGGGACTGGGAAGGGGGAGCTGCAGGATCTATGGGGACAGCGGGTCTGAGAGGTAATCAGTCAGCTCTGATGCCATTCCTGGCACCGTGCCAGCCTCGCACCCCCTGTGGGTCCTTTTCGAGGCACGAACCTCCTTCCCATCCAAACGGGAGTCCTGCTGCTCGCTTATAGGAGGAGTATAAATAAGTGATAAGGAAGTGCTCTATCATGAGAAGCGAGTGTAGGTTCTCAGCGGACCAGATGTACCAAAGAAGGCAATTGTGTGTGTGTGTTCGTTTATTTTCCAGCGTTCCGGTTCCTGTAGTCAGTTTAGAGAAAATTCCTAACCTAGTGAAGGCAGATGGTGCCAATGTCAAAATGAACTCTACAACCACCGCTGCGGTCACCGCCTGCTCCACCTCGACCTCGGCTGTCTCCGCCCCACCCTTAATTAAGCCGGTCTTGATGTCCAAGTCAGTGCCACCTTCCCCAGAGAAGATCTTAAATGGCAAAGCAATTTTGTCCACCACCATAGACAAGAAACACCAAAATGGCACCAAAAACAACAACAAGCCTTACAGGAGACTTTCAGGTACGTGTCTGTGTCCTTCGAGTCTGACTCATGATTAGATTGAAATTGAGTCATATCTGCAACTAAGGAGTGATATGTTCTTATAATTAAGCAGGTCTGTTTCATTGTAGGGGGGGCGGGGGATAGCAGGGGGACATGGAGCCAACCTGCAGGCAGGACCCCCACCTAAAAATGCAAGCAAGAGCTGGTTCTCGTATTCCCGGGCCGGATGAGGCTCTCACACAGCTCAGTGCTTAGCGAGTTACCCTAGTGACCCGAGAGGCAGGATGCTCTGCTCACACCACAGCAGTCTGTGGATTCTGAGGGTCTGACTATCGTGCTGACCGGCTGATCCGCCCCTGGGTTTGGTAGAGGCCTCACTGCCATGAAGTCTGACAACCTCCGTGACATCTCACAGTAGCTCAGGGCAGGCTTGGGACCGTCCCATCAGTGACCGCTCCACGGAAGGACACAGACTCTGTCCTTTGGCCTCGTTGGTTTCCGGGTTGATTCTGTGGTCGGGGCAGCAACTGCCTTTCCCAAGTAACCAGTGGAATTTCTCTTGGGGAACACTCGGTTCACACCGCAGGTGGGCTGGCGGGGACATCTCTTGGGTGTACTCCTTGGTTGTCTGAGCAGGCTCATGGGTGCCTGGAAGGTGCACACGGCCAGTCTTTGGGACAGTGGTTGTCTCTTAGGGTCCCCCATGTGGATGACGTTTGCTTAACTAAACCTAGCCGTTCTGCTTTTTCCAAAAGACCAAAATAAGCTTCATAACCATGGGAATTTCTCTAATCTTGACAGGGGGAAAATATATATATATTTTCCCCCGTGAAAAAGAAACTATATCTTCTAGTATAAGCATACTTCTTTTTTCTTTTTTTATAATATTTTTATTGATTCCAGAGAGGAAGGGAGAGGAGGGATAGATAGAAATATCAATGGTGAGAATCATCGATCGGCTGCCTCCTGCACTCCCCACAATAGGGATCACTGGCGATCGAGCCCACAACCTGGGCATGTGCCCTGACCCAGAATTGAACTGTGACCTCCCGGTTCATAGGTGGACACTGGACCACGGAGCCACGTCGGCCAGGCTGAGCATACTTCTTAAGCACCCCAAAAATTTTGGGTCATTTTTATTTTTTACTTCATGTTTATCTGTATTTTAGTTTTTCTATCTTACATCTGTAACTTTTTTTAAAAAATTATTCTTAAAAGTACCTCAGCCCCAAACACTCAAATGACAGAAGCATTATTCCCCCAAAACCTCCTCTTGTGCTGCTCACCCACGATCAGGAAAGGGAGGTAGAGCCTGGTGTCCCCTGCGCGTGGTGAGCCTCCCTGTGTGGACGGGAGCCCCCGGCGCCTGGCTCTCCTCGGGACGGGAAGTGGGTGGCAGCGTCCCAGGGAAAACACAGGCCTGGCGGGCACAGTGTCCCCGGGCTGTGGCTCCTTGTAGCAGAAGCATGTCGGGGCTTCCAGCCTTTACCCCATTCGGCCGTGGTTTGGGGATTTTTTGTCGGCTGTTTGGTTTTGCATTTTGTTGGTTGTTTTGTCTCAGTGGGTCTTTTGCTTCTATCTCGCTTTCACATTTGGCAGCCAGCTCCTGCCCCCAGCCAAACAACCTGCTCAGTTCCAGGCCAGCAGGAGGGCTGGTGTGGGCCTGGGCACCGGTCTGACTCCGACAGCCCCAGGGGCAGAACTCCCGGCCAGGCTGTCCTGGGTGGGCAGAGAGGACTCCTAGGAAATGGGCATCTCCAGGTCTAGCCATTTCCATTCTTAAAAGTGAAGCTTTAAAAAAGAAGAAGAAGAAGAAGACAAAAGAGAAGGGGGAAGGGCATTTTGATAGCCAACCAGGTCATCTGTCTGGGATATAAGAATGGTTTTGTTGCACACATTATTATTACCACCATCACAACCACCCTATGGTCCCCCAAACCTTTTTTTTTTTAAAGAATAGTTTCTTGCTTTTGAAAGAGAGAGGAAGGGAGAGGGGGAGAGAGAGAGAGAGAGAGAGAGAAACACCGTTGTGAGAGCAGAACATCCATTGGCTGCCTCCTGCACACCCCTTTGCGGAGATCGAGCCCACAACCCGGCGCTTGTGCCCTTGACTGGGAATCGAACTGGCAACCTTTTGGTGCACAAAATGATGCCCAACCAACTGAGCCACACTGGCCAGGGCATCCCCAAACCTTTTTTTAAAAAAAAATAGAACGCATTCATTGAGTATGCTCAACGTTTACTCCACCAGTTTCAGACAGTGTTTCAGGCGGGGTAACTTCTTTTTCGTGTGCAGCTATTCAGGGTTCTTAAGGACACCACCAAATTTATAGCACTTCCCTCACCCACCCCAGCATCCTCCCTGCAGCCCAGGAGAGCTGTGTCATTCCTTCTCTGCAGGAGGCAGGTGTTTGCTGGGCACCTGCCAGAAGCAGGAGGCACCTGGTGGGGGGTGGAACTTTAAAGCCTACAGGGAGGGTCCTGAAGTGGTTGCCCGCCCTCATTTTCCTGGGGAGGAAAGCATTTTTGTGATCCAGAGGGGAGAAAGGATCCAAAATGGGCCGAGAAAAGTTGCTTAGAAGCAAACTCCCAACATGACCCCTCCACAGTCCAGGGGAAGGCAGGCGGTGGGGAAAGCCTGGCCTCCCTGCAGCCACCCCATTTGCAGCAACAGGCCTGTGCCGGGACACGGCAGGCTGAGGCTGCGAGACTGGCAGGCTCTGCCCTCGCTGCACCTTTCCGTTTAGATCTACAAACGGCACACACCCAGACTTCTCCCCTGCCCCTGCCTAGGGCACCGCCAACGTGTTCCTGAATCAGGTCAGCTGTTTTTCTGGCCAGCAAGGCTGTCTGGAAAGCCTTGTGCTGCGCACCCTGCAAAGCAGGAGAGGGGCAGGGTCACTCCTGACAGGTCAGGGAACACTCTCCGCCTAAATGGCCAAAGACAGCAGGAAGGCAGGTGGGGCTGGGGAGTTGTGAGGCGCTCTTGGAACCACCCAGGAAAAAGTGGCCCTCGGGCCTCAGGTGGCTCTCCCTGGTCTGCTGTTAGCCAGGCCCAAAGGGCCAAGAACCTGGAGACACTTTTCCAGTGAAATACAGCGTAAGAGCCGTAGGGCTCCTCCTCCCCAGTGCCCGCCCCACCCCCTGCCCAGTGCCTTGTGCTGCGGTCCCCCATCCCTACGAAGCTGGCCTAGGGGACTCTGGGTTCAGAGGGGTGCACCATGTTCCCCTGAGCGGTTTCTTGAAGCATTTTAGCAGTCGGTGGAAAAAAAAAAAAAAAAACAGATTGCCTGACAACGTCTCACTTGTTGGTGCAAATGTGCATTTTTTAAATGTAGTCTTAATGCCAAATCCTATTTAGTCTCCTTTTTTCTTATATTTTTTGTTTGTTTCTTAAACCAGAGAGAGAATTTGACCCAAATAAACACTGTGGAGTATTGGATCCCGAGACAAAGAAACCTTGCACAAGATCCCTCACCTGCAAGGTATTTCTCTTTCCATAAAAAATACTTCCTGCTCTCGCTGGGGCCTTTGTCGAAATGTTTGCATGCCACTCTCTGCACACGGCAGGGTGTGGGACCTAGACATGACCCCCAGCTGTTCTTTGTAAGGGAAATGCTTTCTTCTCTTCCATGGTAGCGGAGTGCCTGCCTCAAGCTGGCTGGCTTTTTAAGAAGGAAAAAAAAAAAAAAAGGCTCCCCTGTTACTTGTGAGGCCAGACAGTAAATTGTATTTATAGGCACTCACAGGCGGTTCTGAGCCCTGCTACGTTTTAATGTATGCAGGAGCGGCGGCGGCAGCGGCGGCGGCGCCCTGAAAGGCAGTCCTGCCGCGCCC